CTTTCTCCTTCTCCTTCTTCTCTTTCTCCTTCTCCTTCTTCTCCTCCTCCTCCTTCTCCCTTTTCATTGTTCAAGTAGGTCTACAAGGTCTAAAATGCCCCCAGAAAGCAAGCCTCCCCCCCCATCCCCATTCTCAGCCATGCGGTTCCCTTTGCAGAGCGACACTATTCCAGGTCTCAGACGAGGCGCCATGTGGCGCACACGACCTCAGGCCATACAAGGGGCAGCAAACGCTGCACGTTGTCTGCTCTTTATTTTTCCTACCTCCACGGATAAATCCTGGAGATGCATCCACATTGGCTCATGCAGCATTCCCTCAGTCTTTTTTTTTTTTTTAAGATTTTATTTATTTATTCATGAGAGACACAAAGAGAGAGAGAGGCAGAGACACAGACGGAGAAGCGGGCTCCATGCAGGGAGCCTGATGTGGGACTCGATCCAGGGACCCTAGGATCACGCCCTGGGCCAAAGGCAGATGCTCAACAGCTGAGCCACCCAGACATCCCTTTTTTTTTTTTTTTTTTTTTAAAGACACAGAGAAGTCATCATTTGGCTGGACCACTGTCTTACAAAAGCAGAATCTTTCTGGGCAGGTGGGTTGTTTCTGGCCTTTGCCGTTGCACACGAGGCTGCATTGCCCCTCTTCCGAGCCTCTCCATCTCGCACAGGGTGAAGTAGCCCCTGGAGGAGATCCTTGGGTGTGAACGGAGCAGGTCAGAGGGCGTCGTCAGCTTGAGCAAGTCTGACCGTTCCTGCACAGCGCACAGGCTACACTCCCCTTGGTAAGAGCTGACACCCTGTGCTCACCTGCAGGGTTAAGATCCACAGGAGCCCTGAGCCCACCTCAGAATCTCCGGGCGGGGGGCCTGAGCACCTGTCCTGTGAGCCCCAGAAGAGCTTCTGAGCCAGGACTCCCTTGAGTTGAGTCTCCTCGGCCTCCAGCCCCTGCCTTCCCCAAGCTTCCTGAGCCGGGCTGGAGGCTGCTGAGCCCCCGGCACAGCCTTCTCCTCTCGGGCCCTGGGAGGAAACCGCGATTTCCGCTTCCTCCAAGTGTCGCCCCCCGTAGGGGCCAGAGCGCAGCCCAGGCCAGGGCTGTAACGTGTGCTCACCACGTGGGAAAGCCCTGGGGTAAAACAGGGGGAGATGGAAACACCAGGAGTGATGAGATATGGAGTGGTTTTCTTTTTTAATGTATTTCTTACAATATTGACATTAAAGACCAAAAACAAAGCTGCCGTTTCCAACACCACCCGTTAACCTGCCCCTGGCCCTCTGACGTGGCATCTGTGTGTAGTTGTCCTCTGTGACACCGTCGCGGCGGGGCGGGGGGCAGCGGGCTTTGTCGTGCCAGTTCTGGTAGGGCGGCTGGGGCCGGGAGGAGCCCATGGGGTGGCCCTAGGCCTGCCCACCCTCTGTTGTTGTGGGCGAAGCCCTCAAGACACATGAACATACCAGCTCCCCGTCTGGAACAAAATAGCAAATGTTCGTATTACACTGGGTGGTAGAATCAACTTTATTCTGCAAAATGAGGGTCGTGGTCAGCTCTGCCCATGGGTGGGACCTCTTCAGCATGGCCCAGACTCACCTTGGAGCCTGACACATAGTGAACACAAGTGAAGCAAGGAAGGGGGAAGGGTTCCCATGTAGTATATACATATTTTTAAAGATTTATTTGAGAGAAAGAGAGTGAGCACAAGCAGGGGGAGGGGCAGAGGGAGAAGGAGAAGCAGGCTCCCCGCTGAGCAGGGAGCCCGACTCGGGGCTCGATCCCAGGACCCTGGGGTCATGACCTGAGTGGAAGGCAGACACCAAACCAACTGAGCCAGCCAGGTACCCCTATTTTTTTTTTGAGAGAGAGAAAGAGAAGTGGGTGAGGGAGGAGGAGCAGAAGGAAAGGGAGAGAGAGAGAGAGAGAATCCTAAGCATGGAGCTCAAGCTCATGACCTGAGCAGAAAACGAGAGCTGGATGCTCAATGACTGAGCCACCCAGGGCTCCTCCATGTGTTACGACTTCAAGAACTCTGAGCACGTGGCCGACCAAATCTTCCTTGCTCCCTGCCAAAGAGCCTGACATCCTCACCGTCAGTGATCCCTCCAGCTACAGGGATCTGTACCCTCCTTAAAACAGGCATCGATCATTTATTATTTATGCTCCAGGTACAGCTCTAGGTGGCGAGACTATAGCCATGAACCCAAGAGTAAAATCGTACCCTCGTGAAATGTAAGTTCTGCGGGGAGGAATGAGACAATAAACAAATAAGGGATGTGTCAGATATCTGTATTTATGATGTGCATTTTGTAATATGTGGAATGGTGGTGATTGCTGGAGAGGATGGTGAAGCAGGGAGGACGGGGAGTGAGAAGGGCATGTAAACATTTTAGGGAGGGTGGCCAGGGCGACCTCAGTCAGAGAAGATCGCAGCTGAGTAAAGAAAGGTCTGAAGGATAAAGGCAGCAGGCCATGCAGATGTGTTGGGGGGAGGAGTGTTCAGGGAAGAAGGAACAGCAAGTGCAAAGGCCCTGAGGTAGGGTCTCTGATTTCCTGTATTAGTTTTTGCTCTTGATCTGGGTCACAAGCAACATGGAGGTAGGAATAATGCTTTTTAGGTCTTTAGAAATACTTTGGATTGCCATTCACCGTATACCCTTTTGTACTCTTGAATTTCACATCACTTGTAGGTGTCCCCTATTGTTTAAAAAAGGTTTCGTTCGGCTCATGCCTCAGGAGGAGGATGCACAGCCCCGAGCTGGACAGACAGTAGGGTTCAGTAATCATGTGCCGTTTGAATATTTGATAGTGACACGTATACCCCACGAGGGTCAGATTTATCTTTATGGACTGCCAATCCCGGAGCTTTCCTTAGAGGCCGTTCATTGCCGCATGGCCCTTCCCACCTTCGGAGGGGCCGATTGTTCCCCCTCAGCCCGGTTTTAGCTGTAGAATTCCCACCGTAAGGTAGACCTTAGCCGTTCAGCTCTGTGAGATGACCCCACCTGTCACCTTTTCCAATAGCTCCCTCTGAGCCCCTGCAGGCTCCCTGGCCAGAAGAGACTTTGCGACTTTTGTCACTTTTTAGGGGAATACTCGTAAGGCCTTTAAAAGCCCAGGGACAACGCAAACAGTGGCACCCGAAGTGTGGGGCCGAGGGGAGTGAATCACAGGACAAGAAAGGGCGGACGCACTGCAGCCGTTCTGCTGGCTGACGGGCGGGCGCGGTTCAGCCCCTGCCCTCCCCCGCAGGGGGGCCGCACGGGTGCTCGCAGGAGCTCACACCACCCTCGGCCAGGCCTTCAGCAAAGACTTGCCGTCCCTGGCCGGCTGAAGAGCGTGTTGGATGGCGTTCCCACTGCCATAGCTATCGAAGAGGAAAGAGAGGAAAACCCGCAGTAAGCGTTCAAGAATATTCATGGATGGTTTCAACTATTTGCTGAAAACACTTGTGTTTGCGGTAGATTCCTGTTCAATTTTGCAAGGTCTAATCCACGGAGGTGATGAAATCTCTCTCTCTCTCTTTTTTTTTTTTTTTTTTTGCAGAGGCCGGGGGCTAGCAGCTGCCTAGAAGGGAGGTTGGTGGGGGGCAGGTAGCCTGAGGCACGGAGGGAGGGCCAGCCAGGAATGAGAAGCTAAAGGGGTTTCCTCTTGTGCCAGAGTGCAGCACGAAGGTGGCTGGCAGCAGGTGGGCAGGTTTGGGGCCGGGCGAGGGTCAGAGAAGGGCTAGCGTCGCTCCTGGGCCGGGAGCCGAGGGGCAGTGGGGGGTGCCGGTCTCTGGGCACTGAGGATGATTTGGCAGTGCACTCGGGGTGCCATGGGGTTGGGTGTGGGGCTCCAGGGAAGGGGAGTTCTTAGAGCCGTAAGGGGCGCACGGCAGGATGAGAGGCCCAGCAGGCCCTCGGTGAGCGTGTGGTTGGAGCTCCACGTGCAGCGGATGTGCATTTACACCCCTGCCCGCAGCACCCCCCGTGTGTGCTCCGGGTTTTGAGGCAAACCCCGAGCAAGGCCCACGTGGAACGAGCCCGTGTGTCCTGGGGCATCGTCCAGCCGATGGGGCGGCCAATGCTCTCTCTGGGTTTGTCGTGTTGATTAAAAGTTGTATTTTTATAGGTAAGACCAGTATCCCCGGCCTGCGGGCTAGGGGCCGGGCTGGAGCCCCGCAGACCAGCGGGTCCCGGCTACCCTGACTGCGGCGCCGCAGGGAACGAGGTCGCGCAAACAATCCACAGTTGTTAAGTGGAAAATGTCACTATGACCTTTTCTCAATGCTTTTTAACTCACGCTTTCTTTTTTCTATTTTTTTTAAGTCGTGTGTGTGTGTGTGTGTGTGTGTGTGTGTGTGTGATGAGGCAATAGCCATACAGCAAAACTGTTGATGTTTAAAAGGTGAAAACTCTCTCCCTCCTTCACTCCATCCTCAAGGGCAACCCACATGCTGATGTCTTGTGTAGCCTCCTCCACATGCGACTTCTGCATCTACACCCACCCACGAGGCAGCCCGCGTGATAATGTCTCTTTCTTCCATACTTGGCTGTTTTTTAAAGATTTTATTTATTTGTTTATTCATGAGAGACACAGAGAGAGAGGCAGAGACCCAGGCAGAGGGAGAAGCAGGCTCCCTGCAGGGAGCCCGATGGGGGACTCGATCCCTGGACCCCGGGGTCCCGCCCTGGGCCAAGGGCAGCCGCTCAGCCATGCGCCCCCAGACGCCCCCTGCATACTAACGGTTGATTCCGTCTGTCCTCCCGTCGTGCCGTCTACCACGTGACCGTCGCTCACATCTTTTGAGTCTCCTTCCGTAGAAAAATATCTTAATAAGCATTTGAGCCTTTGCCTGGAGAGTAAGTGAACCACCCTGTGTGACCGTGACCGGGGCTTTGAAGCACGTTGGTGTCACGCTGCCATTAAATTGAAACCACACTTGAATGAGGTCCCTTAAGGTCATAAAGCAGAGACTCCAAGAAATGATCTGTCTTCTAAGGCTGTGGCATGTTTGCTCTTGTTCCAGAAACTAGAATGAACCGAAGCGTCCCCGTGGAGGTCGATGAATCCGAACCATACCCCAGCCAGTCACTGAAGCCGATCCCCGGCGATTCCCTGGAGGAGGAGTCGGAGCCACCTGCTCCAGACCGAGGGGACATGGCCCCCCACGGCTCGTCTGCGCCCCCGGGCCCTCACTGCTCCGCAGGAGACTTTTCTCAGGACCACCCACCCCTGAAACTTTCAAATCACCTCCGGCCTGTGTCCCAGCAGGTCACCTGCCTGCGCACTAAAATCCTGGAGGAGACGGAAGACAGCTTCTGGAGGAGACACCCGGCCCCGGGCAAAGACCGGCCCTTTGGGGTCGGAGCCTCCCCTCCCGGGCAGCAATTTTCATTTATGGAAAAATGGAATCAGTGGCCAGGATCTCAGCTTTCAGCGGCCTCCCCTGACACTGGCCATGACTCCGACCACTCAGACCACAGTTGCCCCAGCGCCTCGGCCGGCGCCTGGCACAGCAGCCACGACACGGTGCAGCGGCCCCGGCCCCGCAGGAGCCCAGCGGCCCCAGACCCGCCCACAGTAGACACAGGCTATGACTCCCAGCCCCAGGACGTGCTGGGCATCCGGCAGCTGGAGAGGCCCCTGCCCCTCACCTCCGTGTGTTACCCCCAGGACCTCCCCGGGCCGCTCAGGTCCCGGGAGTTCCCTCAGTTCGAACCTCAGAGGTACCCGGCGTGTGCGCAGCTGCTGCCTCCCAACCCTCCCCCGCATGCTCCGTGGAACTGTCACCACCACTGTCCCAGAGGTCCCTATCACCAGGTGCCATGTAAGTGAACGCCACCCCTCTGGACATTCCAGGCTGGGTCACTAAGGAAACCGGGGCCTCGTGTCAGTGCCAGGGCCCCAGACAGCCCAGACCGGTCGGGGCAGCGAGGCCGGCTCTGCTTCCCGGGGGCGGCTGTCCCCGAGCGCCTGGACCTGCCCGGAGCCTTAGGACGATGCTTCATCCTAGCCCAGCGCCTGCCCCACTGGGAACCTACTCTCCGTAAAACTTCCAGGGGAAACAGACCCTCGTCTCGGTTAGTTTAGCTGACACCTGCCTACAGGCGGGGAGACGGCCCAAGCGGCTTCTAGGGTGTATTTTTGTCGTCTTAATGCTTGGGCATCCGGGTTCTTCCTTCACTGCGTGCTTCTAACCCATCTGAGATTTGGCAAAGAGGCCTTCAGTCAAAATTCCCAGAATGTTCTTGATGCTCTGGATTCATGCCTTTACCTGGAGATTGAGTTGCTCCTGCGATGCTATTGCTTAAATACCTCTGGATGCTCCATCCACCGGCCTTTACCTGACACCCTGGCCATCCCCACCCCCGAGGACCACAGTCCCCCGACCCCCGCTACCTGCTTCACACCTGCAAGTGCTCGCCCTTGCTTTCCCAATCCAGGATGTTCTTCCCCTCCTTGCACGTTTAACCCAGCTCTACGCCCCCTTTTTAACAGCTTTATTGCGATCTAATTTACAAACTGTAAAGTTCGCCTTTGACCCAGGTAGGTGTACAATTCAGTGAATCGTAGTATGCTTGCAGACTTAATGCAACCATCATCGTATACACCTTGTAAGACTTCGCTCAAGGGTCCCTTTGAAAGCTCCTCAGATCAATCCCTCCTTCAGGCTCTCAGTTTCCTGGCGCTCTGCTGCTTGGAACACCTAGTATCAGTATGGCATCTACTCATGGACTTGTCCACCTCTCCATCCAGCATATCAAGCATATCAGCAAAAGTATATTATTATTATTATTTTAGAGAGAGAGTGAGCACACGTGCACACAAAGTGAGGAAGGGGAGAGTGCAGAAGCAGAGGCAGAGGAGACAGAATCATAAGCCAGATCCACACCCAGTCTGGAACCCAGAGCAGAGCTGTCTCATGACCAAGAGCCAGGTGTTTAACCATTGAGCCACCCAGGTGCCCCAGCAAAGGTATATTTTTAATCCATAATTCTCCAGCATTTAGCACAGTGACCAGCATATACTAGATTCTCAGTAAATTATTTCTGGGTAAATACATTGTGTCATTGCAGTAAGCATTTCTAAAAGTGATCAGGTCTCAGATTGAGACAAAAGGTCCATTACAATTCTTTTTTTTTTTTTTTTAAGGTTTTATTTATTTGACAGAGAGTGAGAGAGAGAGCGAGCACAAGCAGGTGGACCGGCAGGCAGAGGGAGAGTGAGAAGCAGGTGTCCCGCTGAGCAGGGGGCCCGATGCAGGGTTTGATCCTAGGACCCTGGGACCATGACCTGAGCTGATGGCGAACACTTACCTGACTGAGCCACCCAGGTGCTCTGGTCCGTTTTAGATTTTTTTTTTTTTTAATTTATGATAGACATAGAGAGGCAGAGACACAGGCAGAGGCAGAAGCAGGCCCCATGCTGGGAGCCCAACGTGGGACTCGATCCCAGGACTCCAGGATTGCGCCGTGGGCCAAAGGCAGGCACCAAACCGCTGAGCCACCCAGGGATCCCCATTTTTTATGTTAAGTCTCCGCTGAGGCCACTGGGAAATAACAGGGCTGTGAGATATGATAGTTTTCTTAATAAATAAATGTTGTACAAAAAGCAGTTCAAATGGTCAGACCAGAATCTGACCAAAGGCCTGATGCCTGGCTTTAAAATAAATTATAGAAATAACCCAAAATGCTGTAACCATCACAATTATTTACGTATTGGTCCATGTACATTGCATATAGAGCTTCCTAAAGTGAATGGACCAGCAGCGTAATTCATAATTTTTTTTAAAAAAAGAGGGAGAGATTTTTGTCTTGATGTACGAAAGCTTCCATTCTGGAGGGAGAGGTAGGCCTGGGCGGTCCGTGAGCAGATGCCATACTGACGTCAGGCGTTGTGACAGGCAGCGCATGAGGAAAAGGAGCCTGAAGGAGGCATGGGTCTGGGAGCTTTCCAGAGGGACGGTGGAGCTGAGTCGTAAAGGAACTTAGAAGATAAGGTTGCAAGAAAAAAGAGGAATGAATGTGAGGTTAAGGGTGAGGCCAGGAGCTGTGGAAGCAGCAGGGCTCGGGGAGAAAGAGCCTCTAAGGCCTAAAACTGGGACCCTGAGTCTTGGAGGTTGGGAAGTCACCAGTTGGGGGTTGTGGACACCACTGCTTGCTCTGAGTGCCCAGTAATAGGACGGGTGTGGTTGCAGAGTTCCTTAAGGATGAATCACTGAGGAGTGAACCTTGGCAGCGTCAGGGCACATTTATTTCTCCATGATTTCCAGGTTCAAAGGGGATAATTCTGTGAGGATAATGCCATAAACTACTTTCTAACATTCTACAATCTGCATTTAAAGATCATTTTCCTGATCCGCAACAATATATGTTTGCTGGCAAAATTGAAATGTGCCTAAACGTCCCATCCCTATTTCCATCTCCTAACTATAATTCCTTATTGGGGTTTGACTTAAAATATATACATATATATATAATATATATATTAAGTATATATGATATATATATAAATAGATTATATATATTTGATGTAAAGTTAAAATAATTCCCAGTGACTTTCCGTGCACTTCTTCCAGCATCATTTAAAAATTCTGCGTATTTTATCAGATGGATTCCATCAACTTGTTTTTGAAGCTGCTCTCTGTTACTGGACAATGTAAATAGTTTCCAGTTTCTGATCCAATAAGCAAAGCTAGGACAAACATCAGGTACATACTTTTTTATCTGCATTTCTGATTAATTCCTTAGATTAACGTGTAGAAGTCTGAATACTTAGTAAGGGCTTTGTGATATTAAGTCCCAGGCAGTTCCCTTTATCTGCTAACAGGAGAAAGCCTCATTGTGACAGACAAAGAAAGCATTAACTCAGTATGATTTGAGGATCCCAGATAGATCTTCCCACTTGCAAATATTTTGTGTGTGTGTTGATGCCTGAAATGACACCATGAGCAGTCCAGTGTGGGAGGTGAGCACAAATTGCCCCCTCTGGGCAGACTCTTTGAAAATGCAAACATCCCTGACTGGAGACTCTTTCAGGCTCTAATATCTGCTGTGAGATTTCTCTCTTGTCAGCTGTGTTGTCCTCCCCAGGTGCCCTATTCCCTTCCACTGAAGTGGGGAGGAGAGGGCCGCTGGGGGCCCTGGGAGGGAGGAGAGGTGATGAAAGGCAGAGCAGAGAATTCGGGCAGGAGAAGGGAATAATGCACAGAAGACATACGAACATTAAGCATGTGAAACCAAGCTAAGTTTAATTTAATCACTAAATTCAAGAAAAATGTACAGATGCAAAATTTTTAAAAGATATCCTTTTCCTAATGAGGTGTGCAAAACAGAGGAAAAAAAAAAAAAAAGAAACAACCCTCGGACGACCTCCACAGTTAGTGGGGTTGTGGGGAAACGAACACCCCCACCTATTCTTCGGAGGAGTGTCGATTGGTACAATCTTCTGGAAGGCAGTCTCACTATTTATCAGAATTCTAACTCTGCTTCCCTGGCCCAGCAGTCGCACTTGTGGGATCTCTCCCTCAGAAACCCTAAATAGGCCTATAAAAACCCATAGAACGAGGAGGCTTGGTAAAGCATCGGTGTAGTAGAGTGAAAAGGGAAACAACTCAGATGCCGCTCAGTCGGGGACAGACGAGTAGGTTGTGGTTTATTGATACAGCGGACTGCTAGGCCGGTGTCACGTAGAATAAAATACGTAATTCCGACATAAAAAAGATGAAGTGGCAAAGCAAGATGCAGTGCTGATTCCATATGTGTTATTTTTAAAAGCTATAGAGGCTTAAACACCGTGAAAAGTCTGGAAGGATGGCCTCAACTGCTGCCAGTGATCCTGGCGTGGGGTGAGGGGCAGGGAATTCAGAAGAGACAGGCTTTTCCTTCTAACTTTATATACTTTTCTTAAATTGGTTACAGCAAACAGGTATTATTTTTTATAATTAAAAATAAGTAGACGTTGAAGAAAGAAAAATATGGGGAAATGAGAGTGTGCAGCAGCCTCATTCCCCTGAGCCTGTCTTTGGCCTGGCCTGGCTGCCAGAAGCATCTAATCCCAGGGGAGGGGGGCAGGGTTGGGCCAGCTTTGTCCGGGAAGCCCCGGGCTTCAGTTTTTCCTCAGGGCCCTGCAAGCCAGGAAGCTTTATGAGGCCTCAGGCACCAATGGCCCCCGGGAAGGTCACTCTGAAGATTAAATGAGATAATACGCTGGCAGGCGCCAGGATGGGAAGGGAACCAGGGAACCGGTCGTTATTACTGTTATCACTTAACGTGGATCCTGCAGTCCCCTCCCAGGTCCCTCCCGCCGACACAGATTTTAAGCATTCCAGGCAGGTGTACAAATGCTTAGTTTCCTGTCAGGACTATAACTGCACTTAATTGCCAACAAAACCACTTCAAAAGAGCTGTTCACCTAAGGGATGCTCGTGCCCTTGGAAACCATGGCTACGTGGTTCTACTTGGCTTTACAAGAGCATTACTTCCTCATCCGTTAATGAAAATATAAATAAATAATGATCGCCATGCAAATGGCATACTTTCGTCTTTGCAAGCTAAAGCAGAGATGGTTCCTGGTCACCCCTTTTATGTAAAAAAAAAAAAAAAGTTCAAAGCCGGTGAAAATGAGCAGAGAATAAGCAGAAGTAGAATAAGCTCGTGTTTTCCCTCCTGCCCCCCGACCGCCCCCGCCCCCGAGAAGGGTCTCAGAATCCTGGGATTGTCTCGGAATCCTTCCACCGGAGGTCACCAGAACGGAGATCGTGGCTGTGCAATCAAATGAAACCCATGATGCAAATAATTGGGGTGGGGGGGATGTATTAAATCTAAAGAGCCCTTATTTTACTATAAAAATGTTTGCTTTCTCTACCGAGAAGACTGGATAAAATAAAACTGTGGTCATACACCCACTATTGCTCATAGGAACCCGAAAAAGTGATTATTTGTCTGCCAGAGTGCATGTACAATTACAAGTAAGGGGAAAAAAATTTACCCAGATGGAAGAAATGATAAAGAAAGGAGCTGCCTTTCAGGAACCACAGCTGTATCCAGCTGTGGCTGTTCCGGTCACAGTGTGTGTTGGTCATTTTGTTTGCTGGCCAAACTGATGCATCCTATCATCGTGCTTTTTGACAACTTGAACATCGGCTTTTATTTCCCCTCTCGCGCTCCCCTAATACCATTCTTAATAAGGAAGAAAAATGTTGGCTGTTTTGACTGATAAGTGGAAAACCTCGTTTAGGATTTGGTTTACAAATTCCAAGTGGTGAGGAGGCTAGTGGCGTGAGGACCGGGTGTGCCCAGGCCGGGAGGATCACGGGGTTGGTGAACGACACACAGTTCTGGGCACCCATGTACGAGTGTGCAGGATTTGGGTTTTTGTCCTGTGATTAACCCTGCCTCGGAGGAGGCCCCGCGCTCGCCCATCACCGTCCCGTCGTCCGTCCCACCTTCTATCCTCCAGCTCCTGCAGGATAGTCTCTGGATGGGATCGTAGGGACCGAGGACAGAGTCAGTGGGGGGGATCTTTCGGGGCATGTTTCTTCAGTCTACCAAGTAGGCGGCTGCCGACTTGCACGCCCCCCCTTCTCACATACTAACAAGGGTGGGTTTGTGTTTCAAAACAGACACCCACGGACACACAGATTTTCTCTTTCTCCCTATTTTGAGCTACTCGGAGAAACTGTATCCTATTTATCTGTGTTCACTGCATGGCTGGCAATAGAGGTTCAACAAATATTTGTCGAATGAACACAAAGAAGCCTGTCCCCTGCCTCCCGGGGAGAGGAGTCCTCGCTAATCCCGAGCATGAGCACGAGCACGAGCACGGCCCTGGTGATGGGATGTCAAGGCCCGGAGAGGCCGTCTTCAATGATCTCAGGGAGGAGGAGAGAGGTGAATGGACTTGGCCACAGCACCCGTCCATTCATTTATCAGTTTATTCAACAAATATTTATGTCCCCAGGCCGCCGCTAGGCCCCGGGGGTGCGGCAATTAAGGCACAGGTGGCCCTTCCCGAGGCCGCAGTCGGCTGGAGCCAGGAGGCAGGGAGCAGCGAAGAAAACCGGTTGGAAGCGCTGGGAGGGAAAAAACCGGGTGTTGGGCACGATTAGGACAGTGAGAGGAGACCCCTTTGGGGGGACGCGTGTGAGCTGAAATCGGAAGGGTAGGAAGGGGCGGGAAACCGGGAGGCCGGCCTGGTGCAGGCCCGAGGAGCAGGCCGCGGCCCGGAGCAAGGCGAGCTGCGCAGCGGGTGAAGGACGGAGCAGCGCTCGGGGACGGGCTGGGGGCTAAGTCAGGCTTCTGGAAAACAGAAGAGTGAACTCCATCATCCCAAACGAGGAACTTGGCCCAGTACCCGGCATGTGGCGAGCGTTCAGGAGGTGCCAGCCACGATGGCCCACTGCCGGTTTTGACCAAACGGGCAAGGTTTGGTCAAAATCGTGGAACAGAATGACTAAAACGCGAGCAATGAAAAGATACTCTTTCGTCTGATAAACGTTTCCCTTTAGCCAATTCCCCCCGCAACCAGATTTCACTTACAAAAGGGAAAGCTGGTTTTTGATGGACCCTCTGGGGTTCAATATTTCTTTGTTTTAAACAATCAGAGCCACAGCATCGGGGGCCCTACTGTCAATTTTTTTTAAAGACTGGTGAGGTGCAGCATTTCATCTGCTCGCCTAAGTACGCCGGTGCAGTCGCTGCCGCAGGTGGCCGTTTCAGAAATGAAAGTCGCAGCTAATCAAACCTTAGCCCACATGCCTTAGTGATTTTAATGACACGATTTGTTGCTATGAGACAAAAACATGTTGTGCGGGAAATAATCTGTTAGAAATCATATGACCTTGATTCAAAGGCTTTTGATTAAGAGCATGAACATCCTAGCTCTCTAGAAAAGAAACAAACCCTATGATTAGAGCCTGGTAGTCCTTTTTAAAGCAAATAAAACATTATTAGCCACTTATTAATGGATACGGGGATTTTAAAAAATGGCTGCAAACATTAAAAACTTCCAAGGCCGGTGGCAGAGTTTCTCCTCTTTTACCTTGTCTTTCTCATTCCTACATCAGAGGGAGAAAAATACCAAAAAAAATACCAAAAAAAAAAAAAAAAACCAAAGTGGGGACTGCAGATAAGTAGCCAATCTCGTGGCTTCTTCTCTGTGTGTGGGGAGTTGGCTTTGAAACCATTCAGTGTCCGTTGGTTTGTTGGTGGAGCATCCCTGTGGGCCAGCGCGGTGCTCAGAGACGTGCAGCCAGCGGACACAGCCTGTGCTTCCAGGCTTCCAGGCTAGTAGGGAAGGCGGACAAAAAGGTGACAAGAGTCCTGCTTATTCAAACATATGAGAAATGCTATAAAGGAAATAAAGTGGGGATGATGGGGTGGGTAGGATAAGGCAACTGGGTGAGGGGTGGGCCTCTCTGAACAGGTGGTATCTGAGCTGAGCCCAGAACCACAAGAAGCTGGTCTGTAAAGATAGAGTGCAAACACGCCAGGCAGAGAGGGTGGCCATCTCCTGGTGCCAGAGGTAGGGAGAGGCTTGGGGTGCTCAAGAAGAAGGATGACCAGGGAGGATAGCTGGGGCTTGGTGAGCTTGCAAGAGCATACGAGGGGCTAAGGGCAAGGGCAGGGGCAGGGATCCAATCGTGCAGGGAGGATTTTAAATGCACGAGGAGATCTCCTTGTAGCTGCAGCTGGTTTTGTAAGTGGTCCACTCGTCCAAGATTCATCTAAAAGCAGGGCTGGGCCTCCACCAGGTGACCTGATGGCAGGGGCACTCTTCCCCTTTTCTAGCAACCTGCCCTGCTGCCCTAAAATCCCACCTGACCATCCGGACCTCTTGGAATGTATGTGACCTGCCCACCCACTCCCCCACCCCCAACCCCGGGAAGGCCGGGAAAGCAAATTCTGTGTGGCCTATCTTATCTTGTGGTCCTGTGTTCCCCGCTCTTGGAGGTGCTCTCCACGTCCTCTATCAGCCAGGGAGCTGGGACGGATCCCAGAGCATCCCTTCATCCTCCTGCCCTTCCTTCAGCCCCTACCATTGAGGCCAGGCCTAAGCAATTGCAGGGCAGGCATCGGGGGCAGGGCCAGGACACAGCCCGGGTTGGAGAGACGGACGGGAAGGACCTGACTGGTGTCCCGTGTCAAAGTAGACAATAGATTGAACCCAGGGAACGTGACCACGTTTGGGAGACTGGCTTGGACACATTTCCAGGCCCACCCAGCCCAGTTCCCTGAGTCAGATGGTGGAGAGCCGGAGGCAGTGACTTGAGATTATGTCCCCAGGCACGTCAATGGCTGCTGGCTGCCACGTGAAGAATAAAATCCTCAGCCACATTCCTACCCCCACTACCTTCTGGTTCCCACCTACCTTGTCTGTGATTTGCTTGCTTGCTAGTTTTATTTCGATTTACCTTCCTGCATGTGTCCTACCCTCACAGCAAGAAAACTGTATCATCATCATCATCATCATCATCAATCATTATTATTATTATCATCAGAAAAAGGATACAGGCCAGTAAATGTTGTCTTGAAATGCAAGGTTCCTTCCTGTTGTAACTTGCTAAGCCTCCTGGGTCATCCAACTTCTTGGGCAAAGGTGGCAGTGCTTGGATCACTAGGAGGTACTCAGGGTTTACACTGCAGGACTATCCATTCACTTGGTTCTCTCCAACCCTTGTGTAGGCTAGACTCACCCCTAAGGTGCATCTCCATGTGTAGCCTTCCCACTCCTGAGCCCCTGGGGACCAGGGCAGTTCCCTCAAGGGAAGCCCTCTCACCCTTCCTGGTTGCCTTGCATCCCTCCTCTGGCCTTCGGTTCTCTTCTTTCATGAGCTCAGGCAGGCTGCCCTTCTTCCCTTGGGACCCTGCTGCTCCAGGGCCTGGCTGGGACCCATTTTCTCTTAGGTTACATGTTCCCGTAAGTCCCCACCAGCCCTGGCTGTGCCCCAAGGCCTGCCCTGTTCCCTCTGCAATGGCCCGGAGTGCGTGTCAATTTTAACAAGAGAAGACCAAGTAAGTTGGGAGGTGTTGCCAACTGGTTAGCGACTTCCCAGAGGTACGAGCCAAGTTTTCATCACTCATTTACTTTTTCCTAAGGCAATGGTTTACGTGTGTGTGTGTGTGTGTGTGTGTGTGTGATGTCCCGTTGGGGGGAAGGAAAGAAGAAGAGTAGCTGGAGCATCTATTCCGGAGATAATTTCTCCTAGTCTCAGATTCCAGAAACTTGGAAAATTATGGTAGGGATGGTGGTGTGAGAGAGGATTTCCATGGTTGGATTATGTTAAGTATCTTATTAAAATAGAGGCCTGCGTGGAGCTCTGTGCTTTCCAATTAGAACAGCAAACTCGTGATTTCGCAGATGTTTTTATTTAGGGAAAAAATGACTCAACTTAACAAAAACTATCAAGTAAATAATAGTACAGAAATATGGCAAACATTACAGAGGTGGTAAGTGATATCTGGAACCCGCCGTGCGGAGACAAACACTGGCAGTGAGCTTAGTCCTTCCCACGAAGGAGCTGGAGTTATTCCGCCCTGATCACTTTGCTGTCTTCGCCTACAGGTGGCCCCGACCACCCTGGAGCGGCCTACCAGCAAGTGGTCCAGCCGGCTGTGCGTGGGCAGCCCCTCCCCGGAGCCAGCGTCAGGGGCCCGCACCCTGTGCAGAAGGTCCTCCTCAACTGCCCCAGCCCCTGGGACCAGGACCAGAGGCCCACGCAGAGAGACCACTCCTCCCCGGGCCTCCCGAGGTACCGCTATGACAGGGCCAACGTTCAGAACTTTTTTCCTTTTTAAAAAGATTTTATTTATTTATCCATGAGAAACACAGAGAGAGAAGCAGAGACACAGCCAGAGGGAGAAGCAGGCTCCCTGCAGGGAGCCTAACGTGGGACTCATCCCAGGACCCCGGGGTCACGGCCTGAGCCAAAGGCAGACGCTCAACCACTGAGCCACCCAGGGGCCCTTCAGACTTTTTTTAATGGGAAAAAGAATGACGCCAATGGGATCAAGATGTATCAAAACTCTCCGTTGGTTTGCCACCCAGGGTAGCGACCAAGCCCCACAGGGGCATAGACTCTTCGAGTCAGGTCGAAGTGGAAGCTGATGGATGAGAATCTGTTCACCAGACACACAAAACCACTGGTGACTTGGCAAAATTCTCTCCAAGGAAAGGCCCCCTAAGATGCCACGTGACACCCCCTCCTTTTGCTGCCAGGTCACCTGGCCTCTGAGCCCAGAAAGAGATTTTTATTTTTACTGTGATTGACTTCCACCGGTAGGAAATTCTTGCTTCTATCCCTCGTTGCTACACTCATTTAAACCCAGGTCTTACTTTGGAATTGTACCCTCTGTTAGCTCTCAGCAGCATTTTTTAAAAGCCCGTTGTTTTCTCTTATAATCTAAGCATCCACTCGCATGGGATGCCATTGTCAGGTCTTCCCTATACCTTCTTCCAGAAAACCATTTCTGGTTTTGCTTGACCAGACCAGTTGTCTAATCTGACCTTCAGTCATCTCTCCCCTCCTTGTTCTCCTTTGATCCCTTCTTCACATTTTCCCTTTCTCTTGATTTACAGATCTAAAATACAGAGGAGGGGATCCCTGGGTGGCGCAGCGGTTTGGCGCCTGCCTTTGGCCCAGGGCGCGATCCTGGAGACCCGGAATTGAATCCCACATCGGGCTCCCGGTGCATGGAGCCTGCTTCTCCCTCTGCCTGTGTCTCTGCCCCCCCCTCTCTCTATCATAAATAAATAAAAATTAAAAAAAAAATAAAATAAAATACAGAGGAGGGACTCCTAGAAATGGAACTTCTTAATTTAAGACAAAATCGAAGAGTAGATGAAATGTTTGCTCTTGCTGAAGCACAATTTTTATATACGCTCAGTGCAAAATTATATTCTGTTTTAAGAACAGAATGAGATACAAAGGTCCTATTTAAGCAGATTTTTCAGAAATGCAAAAGTTGGTAATTAGCTCAGACAGTCCATTAAAAGAAAAAAAGCTCATTCTATTTACAATGACTGATAAGGCACATGCCCTCTTCCCCTGTTCCTCAAAAGCCCACATATTCCAGATTTTCTTTCCAGAAAGGGCCTTTATTTTTTGAGAACAGAATCGCATGGAATTGGGGAGCCTGGCTGGCTCAAGCACAGAATCATGTAACTGTTGATCTCAGGGTTGTGAATTCAAGCCCCACATTGGGTGTAGAGATTTAAATAAACTTCAAAAAAATCACATGGAGTTTAAATAATGAAATTAAGAAAATGTGATTTTTTACAACCAGGTAAGGCAAGAACTCTTGCATAAGAAATATCTAAAAGTCCAAGAAAACAAAATTTAAGCATCTTTATGAAACACGTCCACTGGCACTGAACAGGGGAAGCAATAGTAATTTTTTAAGACATTTATTTTGAAATATTTTTAGGTTTACAGAAGAATTGCAAAGTTAGTACAGAGTAATTGTTCTTGTAACATCAATTTAAGCCTGCTATGGTCTCCTTAGGTTTATTTTATCATTTTAGGAATAATGAAAAATAAGTTCAGGTAATGAAGCCAATCCTCCTCTTACTGATAAATTTGAAAGGGAACCTTGACACGGAAACTTTACTGTCATTAACATCCATGATATTGTTTTTACACGGAAGATTTTTAAATTAATGAAGCTTTAACATTTTTTTATCAAATGAGTAATTGTCCTTTATGACAACCAAGCAACTCTCAGTACAATGGAATTTAATGCTAAAAGGATATGGAACTGGATCCCCATTAGATGAAGGCATATTTTATAGGGCTTTTTCCCCTATATATTAATAAAAATCTAAAATAAAAATAATATCCTCAAACAGTCACACTTTAGAAATATAGCACACTTGGGATGTGTGCAATTTTATTTTAAGTCCTGTTGCATAAGACTTTCAAAAATTTTATTGCTCTTTTGGGTAAAAATATAAGCATATGCAACAATCTATAAAAACTGGGGCATATGCACATCGATTTTGTAATCAAAACAGTTTTTATTTTTTTTTTTTTTTTTTTTATTTTTTAAAAATTTTTATTTATTTATGATAGTCACACAGAGAGAGAGGGAGAGAGAGGCAGAGACACAGGCAGAGGGAGAAGCAGGCTCCATGCACCGGGAGCCCGACGTGGGATTCGATCCCGGGTCTCCAGGATCGCGCCCCGGGCCAAAGGCAGGCGCTAAACCGCTGCGCCACCCAGGGATCCCTCAAAACAGTTTTTAAAATTTAGAACATAAAACAACCTTGGGGCGCCTAGGTGGCTCAGTCGGTTAGGCGTCCGCCTTCATCGGCTCAGGTCATGATCCTGGGGTCCTGGGATCAAGCCCCATGTCAGGCTCCTTGCTCAGTGGGGAGCCTGCTTCTCCCTCTGCCCCTCACCCCACTTGCTCATGCTCTCTTGCTCTGTCTGAAATAAATAAATAAAGTATTTTTTAAAAATTATAAAACAGGGACACCTGGGTGGCTCAGTGGTTGAGCGTCTGCCTTCTGCTCAGGGTGTGACCCCGGGGTCCTGGGATCAAGTCCCACATCGGGCTCCCCACAGGGAGCCTGCTTCTCCCTCTATCTCTGCCTCTCTCTATCTGTGTCTCTCGTGAATAAATAAATAATATCTTTAAAAAAAACATTAAAAAAAAACATTATAACACAATCTCAAACATACAACAAATAACAAACATCCATGTTCCCGCTCCCTGGAGTTTTAAACGTTAACATTTTGCCACATGTCCTTCAGAGGTTTTTTTTTTTTTAAGGAAATAAAACATTATAAATTGAGTGGTGGTCCCCCTATCAGTCAGGGTTCAGTTACAGAAAACAACCAACTCGAGTTATTCTCAGAAGGGATTTCACACAGGGAAGCGGGCACTTAACAGGATTGCTGGAGGTCGGAGGAGCAAGCTTTAGGCCAGGCTTCCAGGAATGACCCCAGAGCAGCACCACACGACAGGACACCCAAGAAGCTGCTTCCTCCGTCACCGTGAGAGACGCACAAGATCAGAAGGCCCCGAGAGAGCTCTTCGTGTGAGGCCATGCTGCCAGGGAACAGTCTAGAATCAGGAAGCCACCGCCGTTGGAGGTGTTGGATCCATCCTATACCTGCTAGCTCTACACTGGCCAAGGATGGATGCCTGTGCCCTCCCCTTGACATGGGAAGCTGGTTAATAGGACACTGGGATGCTTCCTGAGGAGCTCAGCACCTCACGGCAGCACTTACCATCAGAAGCCCCGGAGGTGGCAGGAGCGGGGCTTCCACTTCTCCTGGCTTTCCAAATCTCACACGAGGGCATCTGGCCCTTCTCAGCACAGTGTTCATGGGAACACTGGCAACCAAGAAAATAATAAAGATGCCACTTAACAAGTTGGTAGAGGGTCTCTAAAGGGTCTTCCAAATCAGATTTTGATCCATATATTAGCAACAACATAAAGACCTGAAACCTGCAAGTCCTTTTCTACCTTTTGATACATAATTAAATGTTATCTATCATGAGTTAAAAGTCCTGTCTTTCCATCTGAATGCCTAGAACATCAACCTGTATGTCACCCATTATACTGCTTGGTTTTATTGGTGACCATGTCTGCCTTTGTACACACCACTGATCTTCCCAATTAGACAGTCCTTGAATGGAGAAATCGAATCCCGCTCCCTCTTTCGACCCCTAGCGCGGGTCCTTACATATGGCAGCCAGCCCAGATTACTTATTGACTAAAATTCAATGAAGCAACACTCATCCCTCTGGCTCAGAAAAGAAACGGAGGCAGAGGAGAGCTAGCTGGCTCACTGGTATCTTAAAGGCTTTCTTTCCCTCTGGGTCTGCCTTTGTAAAAAAAATAAATTAAGTAAATAAATGAATAAATAAATAAATAAATAAAATTTAAAAACCTACGAAAATTCTACTATAAATGTATTCTTTTCCAGGGACCAACTGTATAACCAGCCACCAAATCGAGCCGGAGTTCCTGAGGAGTCCTTGGAGTGTCCTGCAGAGTTGAGACCACAAGGTCCCCAGGCTCCACCCCCAGCTGCTGTCCCTAGACCCCCTAGTAACCTTCCAGCCAGAGGAACTCTGAAAACCAGCAACTTGCCAGAAGAATTACGTAAGTTGTTTGCAATGTTGTTTTTCCTTCTTTTTGTCAGGTCTTATACTTTGAGAGTACTTGATGATTATTCATCTATGATCTCGGGGATTTCTCATACACACAGTGGAATAAACTTTACTTTTTTACTTTTTTGCTAAAAAAAAAAAAGTAATTGGCATTTTGTGTGGATGTTTTTAGGATTCTGACAGTACCAGCCATACTCACAAAATGCTTACCACGAGATTTTCTTAAACATAAACTCCAGCGACAAGTAACCCCAGTGCTTCTCTCTTCTAAATGATGCTCTTGAGTGGACCTGTCCCTGGGTAAATTGATTGGATGTCCATGTGGTATTGGCCAGGGACCTAGCGTTTCGCCATAAATTAGCAGCAGCCATCAAGAACGAGGTCATTTCCTGTAGGAATGAGCAATCTTGTTTGGAAAAAGTGGTCTCACATTCTCCATACTGCTTTACAACCAAATGCAAAGTAAGGCTTTTATTTAAAGAAACATTCGACTAAGTGTCAGGTGATGATTCTTTTTCCATATTTTGCAGCCAGAACCAGAAATGTTGAAATATCACCAAGATGTTCTCATATTAAGGTCAGGCAGGACAGTAAGTTCCAGAAATCTTATGAAAAGAGCCACTGCTTGTGAAATTGTAATATTCTGTTGTGCTTGCTAGAGAAGTTCAGGTGATTCCAAGAAGCCCTTTGCAAACCCGGGTGCCTCTTTGAACTAGACGTGAAAATTAAGCCTTTTGCATTTGCTGACGCCTATCTGGGGAGTCTGTGCTCACTAGTCATTTAGGATTCTGGAAGATTTGTACGGCAAGGATCATTCAAAAAATATATTTTTTTTAATCTTCTTGAAATCTTACACATTTTAATCTTGAGCATTTCTGGAGAATGGATGTTGCCTGGCATGGGCTCTAAGCCGGATGTCTGTCTGTAGATCATATTGATCTTACTATAATCTGTAAAGGAGTCCCCAAATTCTTACATGGGGACTGGATGAGTGTTAGGTGTTAAGAATACAATGAGTGCTGTCAGTGTGCCTGGCTGCTTCAATGAGTCAATGTGACCGGGTGCCCACGGCTATTTGAGAAATTTGCTTAAAAAAAAACCCAGAGCCCAAGCATAGGTGAATGCGTACGCACTTGTATTTTCTCTCTAGCCTTCCTTTCTCCCCCAGCCTCTGCCCCAGGGACTTCCTGAGATTGAGCCTGTCCAACCCGACGAAAAGCCAACAACACCGAGATTACCCATCTATCACATTAACACGCTAGCCAGATAACGTCCCAGAAGATTTCAGCCCGAGAAAACACGGGTTTGCATCCTGCCCGGGTCACACTGTGGGCACCACGCCATCTGTTTGCTCCAGGCTGACCCAGGGAGGAGGCAGGGAGCCGGTGCCGCTGGGTGCCCAGAGGTGGCATCTGTTTTTCAAGCCCCCGGGGTTCCTGGGCTGTGCTTTAGTGCGCCCCAGCTTCCTGGCCACTCTCCCACCAGCAAGTGGATAAGGGGAGGGAGGGGGCAAGGAGCCACTTTCTCCCTCTCCCCTAACTGTCCTTGTCAAACAAGGGTTCGGGGCAGCAGAGAGCATCGGAAAACGCAAGAGGACACTGCTGGGTGGCCCCTTAGCAAGGTTCAGCTTCTTGGCCCGCTGTGAGTCCTCCTTAGGGCCCGTGCCAAGTGTGTCTAAGTCACCGGGAGGTGGCCTGACCCTAAGGACCCGCGGGTTCTGGGTGACAGATTTTGTTCACGCATCATGTGGTTTCTCAGCAGACCTCCTTGGCTGTCTCGGGCTGCCAGCATTCTTCTTTCCCTGCGCTCCCCTTTCAGGGACCCCAGCCCCCGGGGGCCTGAGCATCTCTGTCCTGAGAACAGCAATTCCCACAGCTGCAGGCATAAGCCCTGGGACCACCCCCATCCCAGAGTTTCACTCTATTATTCTAGAGAGACAAAAGCCACTGCATGCGATTTACAAGTGTTTGGAATAGAATCATTTGACGAGTCTCTATTAAATGTGAAAAATCTCTCTTAGGGAAAGTCTTTATCACTTATTCTATGGACACAGCCATGGAGGTGGTGAAGTTTGTGAACTTTTTGCTGGTCAATGGCTTCCAAACTGCAGTAAGTATTTTACCCAGGGAGAAGATGGAACAATGAAAGTGAGTATAGTGAGAAGAAAAACAGAGGGAGGAAAAAAAATAAAATATATATATGTATGTATGTATGTATGTATGTATGTATGTATGTATGTATGTAACTGTTGAGGTTTTAAACGGTATTGCCCGAATTCTGTGATGATGGACTAAATGCCTAAGGAGGTGGGTAACTGCGTCTAGACCTCTAACTCTCCGGAGGCTCCGGCGCTCCTTCTTGCACACTTCTTGGGCTGCCGACCCGGGTACCCGCGAACAGGCCAGCACGGGGTTACTCACTGCTGACCAGCAGCGCAGCTCGGCCCCCGCCGGAGGAGGACGCCGGGCTCTCCTTCGCCCTTTCCCGCCGAGCCGACAGTGCTCTGGCCGGGACTCCTGTGACACGGAGGCCGCAGGCTCCTCGGCCACCTGCTGCCGCACCAGGCCCGTCTGCAGGGTGGTGGCCTGGGAGGCCTGGGGGACGAGGCCCCGGGCCTGGCCTCCTTCCAGGCCTCGGGGCGGCTGCAGCGCTTCAGGGCCAGGAACACAGGGGCCAGGTTCTCAGCTGGTGGCGTCCAGCCCCGGGGAGTTGGGCGACCCCGCCCTGCGTCCACCGTGACCCCGGCCCCAGAGATCTCAGCCCGCACGCGCCCCGAGTCCGCCTGCAGCGCCTTCCAGCAGCACAGCTTAGTCACGTCCGTTCTTCTGTAGGATAAATGAAATACCCCGGGAGGCCGCTCAGGGGGCTGGCTTTCCTAAAACACTGAGATCACTTCTTTCCCTTCCCAGAGACCCGCTCTGGGTATTCGGTGACAGTGAATTCTAGAAGGTGATGAAAAACTAAGGAAAACATCCAGGAATCGGAATGTTGAAGGATAAAAAAAAGGGGGGGGAATACCTAGTAGCTACGTGTCCATTTTAATGATTGCGTAGCATCATTTAACAGTTTTCATCAAATTTTTTTCTTTATTCTGTGATTTTTTTTTTAAACAGGAGTGTCTGCAAGTTTAAAATGCGTCCGCTGTATACATTCCAACTTATATGACTGTGTAGAAACCAACATTTCAGTTTCTCTTTTCTAGAATAAGAAAGCACCGTGGTAACCATGCCATAAAATCAAATTACGGGTTATAAGACCCACATTTCAGAAAAGATCTTACTTTTTGGTCATTTCCAAATAAGCATACTGATTGCCCTTGGAGAAGAGGACAGGTTTTTATGACCTTAACGATCAGGTGGCTACTTAGGATTTAAATCTGTCCCTGATCCTGATGACTGAAGCCTTGGAGTAGAATCGCAGAGCCCCGCCCTGGACAGCTAACTTACTATGTTGATACATCGAGAGCCCCTTAGTTGGGGGGGCGGTGTGGGGAAGATAGAAAGCACTTAATGGATAATTTAAGGAAAGTTTAATGAAAGGACTATTTTTCAAAGCTCTGGGTAAATTTTAAGAAATCCACAGGAAACAGAGCAATATCCTGGGACCGGCAACCGCAGGGATTGCTATCACCCCGGGTCTAAAGAGGCAAGGGAAGAGTGGTTACGGTGACAATAGAAATTTATTTCCTAGTTCTGGAGGCTGAACATCCAAGACTAAGGTGTCGGCAACACTGGTTTCTTTCTGGGCCTCCTCCTTGGCTTGTGTATGTGAGCACAGCTTCCTCGGCTCGGAGATGGCTGTCTTCTTCCCGTGTCTTCACCTGGTCTTTGCTCTGTGTGTGTCCTAATCTCCTCTTCTAAGGACACCAAGTCGTATCGGATCAGGGCCCACCCAGATGACCCCATTTTATCCCACCTCTTTAAAGTCTCTATCTCCAAATACAGTCACGCTGAGGCACTGGGGGTTAAGGCTTCAAGTAACGAGTTTGGGGTGGGGGTGGGGGTTGGGGGGACACAGTTTGGCCTGTAACAGTGGCTCTGTGGAGAAGTTGGCCTTATAGAAGCTGTGGACTTTGGCGGAGATCTGGAGAGACCAATGAGAGATGTCCAGCACATGTGCCTCCCAGGAAGTCCATCCACCTCAGTAGCGAGGAATGGTTTAGGTGCTAGGGTAACAATAAATATAACCATGTATTGAGTTCTTTCTTCAAACACGGCTTTATGATACACCTTTTCCATGTGCAATTGTTTTAATCCTCACAACCATCCTGGGAAGTAGGTTTAGTAACCACGTATTACAAATAAGGGTAATAAGACTTAGAGAGTTTCGGTGATGTTTTTAAAGTCACGCAAGTGGCAAGTGCAGAAGCCAACAGTAGAACCAAGGGTAGAGCCAAGCTGTCTGTGTCTTCTCAACCCCGACCCCGTACTGCTTCTGTCTCATGTAATAGAAGTGGATTATGGATCCAGTCGCAGAAAGCCGCACGAGCTTTCACAAGATTACCTCATGCGGTCTTTGGCCATAGATGTTTTATTTATTTTTTTTAAGATTTTCTTTATTTATTCATGAGAGACACAGAGAGGGAGAGAGAGGCAGAGACACAGGCAGAGGGAGAAGTGGGCTCCATGCAGGGGGAGCCCAATGTGGGGCTTAATCCCGGGTCTCCAGGATCACGACCTGAACCAAAGGCAGAAGCTCAACCCCTGAGCCACCCAGGCACCTGTCATAGATGTTTTAAAGCAGGGATCCTCCAAACCAAAAGGACCATCCAGGGATCCCTGGGTGGCGCAGCGGTTTAGCGCCTGCCTTTGGCCCAGGGCGCGATCCTGGAGACCCGGGATCGAATCCCATGTCGGGCTCCTGGTGCATGGAGCCTGCTTCTCCCTCTCCCTGTGTCTCTGCCCCCCCCCCTCTCTCTCTCTGTGACTATCATAAATAAATAAAAATTTAAAAAAAAAAGGATCATCCAAACCAAAAGGAGAGCCATTTGTTTCATTTGCAATGTGCCATCAGTAAAGAGACATCTTCTGACCTAGCGATGTGTTGCGTACTGTAGGTACTGGACAGTTTGGTGCACTCGAGGCACTTTCTCCTTCTGCAGGAAGAGTAGAGCCAGGTTGAAGAGTTAAGGCAGACATAAATGAGACATCCAGCCAATGAAAGGGTGTAATAATGTGTGGACTGTCCAGTACCACTGGTCACAATGGGGCGGAGGCGGGTGAGGTGAGGACGAGGGGGTCAGCGTGTGAGGAGGATTCACAGGGGGCAGGGAGGCGCGTGCTGTGCTTTCAGGGTGCCAGGGAGTCAAGTAGACAGGGCACGTGAGGGAAAGGGGGAAGGAAGCCTGGGCCACGGACGGCGTGCCGAGCTTGCCCAATGGCTAGGACTCGATCCGTCTCAAATGGCGGAGTGACGTTTAGGACAATTGATCTGAGAGCAGTGTGGCTGCGTCAAATAAGCCGGCCTCAAGGTCGCTCTCCTCTCCCCGAGTTACCCATTCTAGTATATGGTCCACCTTGTAAACAAGAACACCTCGGACGCAGGTACATTCTCTCTGGCTGCAGGACAGGCCTGAGCCCCAGCAAGGCCTTCCGATTTGGCCTTCTGAAAAATAGAAAAGAGCTGGTTTTTCTCCCTTTCGGATATTCCTCCGAAGACTTGACATTTAATATGTCTTCTGGAGGCCTGAGAGTTCTGCTTCTTGACTTTCATCACAAACCCATTCCCACCATCTCCGTAATTGTTTCCGTGACAGTTTCCTTGGATTTGCCCCAAGTTTCATACAATGCTTTTTAAACGTATAGACCAGGATTCGTATAGACCAGGGATTCGTGGGTGGCGCAGCGGTTTGGCGCCTGCCTTTGGCCCAGGGCGCGATCCTGGAGACCCAGGATCGAGTCCCGCATCGGGCTCCCCACAGGGAGCCTGCTTCTCCCTCTGCCTGTGTCTCTGCGCCTCTCTCTCTCTCTCTCTCTCTCTCTCTCTCTGTATGACTATCATAAATGAATAAAAAAAATTAAAAAATAAAATAAAATAAAATAAACGTATAGACCGAAACGGGACATGATACCATAATAATGACCTGGCTAAGGCAAGGAAAGCACCAGAATTGTATCTCGGTACTTGCACACCACACACTCATTAAAATGTTCCAGCATCATATCATGTTTGCCTTTCAAATTACAGATACATGTATATTTCCGGCTTCTATCCAACGCGGTTCACTATGTGTCTCAGATTTTTTTTTAGACGTAATTATTGCGTAGCCATAGGTACATTTCGGTGGGTACCACTGTATCCTAATTATGGATATGAAATACTTAAATGCCTACTAATGTTGAAACAGGGAACACTTTAAGAAAAATTGCATTTTTGTTTTTTAGACTTGTATGTTCCTCCCTGCAGAAAGAATTCGTGATTTCTCCAATCTTAAATACGTAGAGTCTCTTGTGTTTTCTCTTGCTCTGCATCTAGAGAAAGCTTCTCATTAAGAGCCACCTCCCACCTCTTTTTTCTCGTAGATTGACATATTTGAGGATAGAATCCGAGGCATTGATATCATTAAGTGGATGGAACGCTACCTTAGAGATGTAAGTACATTCCCAAATTCTGAGCTTGTTTTCTGGTGAAAAAGACCATCAGCTTGCGGAGTTATTTTATGAGAGAAGCACTGGCAGGCGCACCAAGTCCAAAGCTGAGAAAGTCCCAACAAAGCCTCCCTTGTTGGCAGCCGTGCAAAGACCTGGAAAGGAAGGATGGGGTCACCCTCGTGGACATGCACCGGCAGGAAATAACGGTCAAACCAGACACAGGTGGTTGATAACAATCAGAGCAAACAATTTTTTTGAGCAGAAAAGGAAAAGAGGAAATGAAGGCAGGGAGTAGGGAGGCAGAGACAGAATTCAATTTAATCTGAAGCCACCCCAAGCGTTTTGCGGGATTGGGCTCAAGAGCTGTCCCGGGAGGCTGCCCGGGTAGTGCACCCCCCACCCCGGCCGCCACCCCGGCCCCCGCCCGGGCGCCCTCTCACAGCCCTGTGATTTGTTTTCCACTGACAGAATCTATACTGACCACTGGGACACTTTGTGCTTTAACAAGATAGAAATTGATTGCTGCCAGTGTGTCCGTGTCGGCGGCTTCAGCCGCTTCTTTTGGAGGGAGCGGTAGGGGACAGTCTCGGCAGCCTGGGGGTTTGTGGCTTTTCCTTGTGTCTGCAGCCTGATGTTTGCTTTGTGCTAAAGGGGCTGCCGCTCCTGGCTGTGCAGACACGTCCACATGTCCACGGCCAGCAGGGCGGCCGGGAGCACAGTCACTGAGGCCTCCTTCCAGAACCCCAGAGAGGGGGCTTGTAGGCCAGTAGGGTGGCCGGGAGCACAGTCACTGAGGCCTCCCCCAGCCGCCCCAGGGAGGGGGCTTGCAGGCCAGCAGGGCGGTGGGGAGCACAGTCACTGAGGCTTCCCCCAGCCGCCCCAGGGAGGGAGCTTGCAGGTCAGCAGGGCGATGGGGAGCACAGTCCCTGAGGTCTCCCCCAGCCGCCCCAGGGAGGGGGCTTGCAGGCCAGCAGGGCGGTGGGGAGAACAGTCACTGAGGCCTCCCCCAGCCGCCCCAGGGAGGGGGCCTGAGCGGTGCTGTTGCACAGCCTTTTTGCCACGATGCAGAAGCACTTTGTGATTCAGGCTTATGAGACGTTCGTCAGTGATGCTTGTGGGGAAAGAGGGACCAAAGTGCCTCCATGTAGCAGAGCCGTTTGCTCTGTGTTTGAAGGGAGCGGGAGGGAGACGGGGCAGCAGGGGGGACGGGAGTCCGCCGACGGGGGCCCCCAGTGCCCGAGACTGTCCGTGTGTCTGTCCGCAGACAGCCCGGGAGTCTGTCGGTGCGCCCCGCCCCGCTGGCCCCTTGCCAGCCCGCCTGCACCAAATGGACCGCACTTTACACTCCCATAAACATGCCTCTCTCTCATTAACAGAAGACAGTGATGATAATTGTAGCAATCAGCCCCAAATACAAACAGGATGTGGAAGGTGCCGAGTCGCAGCTGGACGAGGACGAGCACGGCCTACATACTAAGTACATCCATCGGCTGGTGAGCGGGCAGAGGCGGGAGGCCGGGCAGAGGCGGGGCTGGCGGGCGGGCAGGTGACCAAGCCCCGGGCCTCCCCTCCTGCCTGTGGCCGGGCGGGGGTTCACGTGAGATCTCTCACTCCCCGGGTCCCGGAAAACGGGGCTCTGCTGGCTCAGCGGTCCACCCGCGGGCAGGGTAGCCGCCCCGGGCGCCGCACACTGTTGTGTCACATGGGCGCGGCTCAAGTCCTGCTTCCTCGCGCGTCGCGGTGGGACCGGGCCAAGCGCCCGAAGCTCGCCGTGCCTCCGTGTCCCTGATCACACGACGGGTCGCTGACACGGGCTGTTGCGAAGAGTCCGTGAAATGGTGCCTGTGAAGCGCAGGGTACATCTCGGGCTCAGGTCCCGGGAAGGGATCCTCCCTCGTCCGTGCAGCCTGGCCGCGGCCACGCCTGACCTTGGGGCTCAGCCAGGCCAAAGCCCGTGGGACAAATGTATCAGGGAGCCAGGCTTGCTCGGCGCCTGATAGAACCTTCGGACAGGAAAGATCACCCAGCTTTGGAACTGGCTCCTCTGCGGGCCTGCGATCCCCGTGCCTGTCGGGATGACAGAGACGCTACGGGGAGACGCTGCCTGCTTGGCTAGAACGCCGGACAAGACGTGTGACTTGCAAAATGTCCCGCAGAGCCCCCAGCGGGTGCTCACAGTGCTGGGCCCAGGGCGGCTCGGGGCCTCCCAGCCCATCTCAGCCAGAGCTGGCTCGCCCTTCCCAGGCTTGTGTGCTTCCCAAGGATTCTGAGGTTTGTTTTTTTTTTTTTTAAAGATTTTATTTATTTATTCATGAGACACAGAGAGAGAGAGGCAGAGACACAGGCAGAGGGAGAAGCAGGCTCCCTGCGGGGAGCCTGATGCGGGACTCGATCCCAGGACCCCGGGGTCACACCCTGGGTCAAGGGTAGGTGCCCAACCACTGAGCCCCCCGGGGGCCTGGATTCTGAGATTTAAGAAGGCTTGACATCCACGGGACCAGAACTTGCAGGCTCCGTTTCAACAACAACGGTCCACAGGCATCGGGAATGGGCAGAAAGGATCAGGGACTAAGACAGGAGCGTGGGGCAGGACGCCCAAGCAGGCCGGACGGACCCCGTAAGCGGCACAGGGCGGGACGCCAGCCGGCATGGGACAGGCCGCTTCACCTCGGGGAAGCCAGCCTAGGTCCGGGTCCATCCGGGGGACCAGGAGCTCGGGAAAAGGGGCCGGATGGGTGGGTGGACGGGGTTCCCCACCCGCCGACCACTGATCTGAGCTTAGAACCAACCCAAAGTCAAAGCCGAGGCCAGGGGGTGCGGGCGGAGCATCGGGCCAGGAGGCAGCCCGCTCCATCCTCTCCCGGGGCCCAGGGGAGGGTCCGGCCGCTGCTCGCGTCTGCAAGGCCCCAAAGCCCTCGGTGTCCCCCAGGGCGTCTCTAGGAAGCTGCCGGGCCTGGGAGGCAACCTGGTGTGTGGGAAGGGCCCCGGGTCCCGCCAGCCCCCGAGGAAAGCCGTCGAGTGCTGCCGGCGTGCGTGGCCGTGGAACAGCTCAGCCTCGGCGCTCGCCCGACGCCGCCCAGCCACGAACCAGACTGTCTCCGAACTCCTGGGGACAACGGTGCTTGGGCCCTTCCTTATCCGGAGGGGCGACGAGGCCAGCTAAGACCACGTCCGGGCGCCCTCCAGGCAGCAGAGCCCTCGAGGCCCGAGGCGGCGGGGAGGTAGCCGCGAGTAACCGCACCCGAGGGCCACCGACTTGGCCAGAAGCCGTGTCGGACCAGGAGAGGAAGTGACAACACACGGCCGCCGTGGGGCCTGCCGGCAGGTCGGGCGCCCTGCTGCACGAGCAAGGCTTTACGGATTCAGGGTCCTGGACGCCAGAGGCGACGTCCACTTCTTCACTTACAACTTGCAAACCCCAGGCCCTTCCTCCCACGTGTTTGTCCTGGTGACTGGTGCTTCCCCGGTGTACGGGGTACGGATCCTTCTGAAAATACACATTTGGGCCTCTGAATTTTAAAAGACAGTGGTTCTGAGAAAAAGAAAAAACAAACCTCGTGAAGTGTTCGTGTGTGAGTGTGTGTGTGTGTGTGTGTGTGTGTTTATGAGGGGGTTTCTATGGTGACTTCAATAACCAGCTGTCACCGCTGTCACTTTCTTCTCTGTCCTGTTTTTATTCCCCTGCACGGTGAAGACTTCTCAGTCATAAAAATCAATTGGAAGATGAGGTACTTGGGAACACATGATTCCTCGTCTCCTTGTCACCCGATGACTGAAAGCCTGGTGCTGGTCACAGCATTGGGAAGACTCCAGCCCCCCTCACCTTGGAGATTCTGGGGGTGATAGAGTGCTCGGCGGCTGAGGCCTGAGCGACGTGTCAGAGCGAGCTGGAACTGTGTGGGGAACCTACAGGGTGGTGCGCAGAGCTCCTCGCAGTTGACCCCCAGCCTCATCTCCCGCTGCCTCCCTAGCCCAGCCCGGGCTCCACCTGCAAGCGATGCTTGCTGGTCCCAACCCCGGCCAACATTCGCGGGCACCTCCAGGCATTGCTCCTGCTGTTGGCTCTGCTGAGAATGCCCTTCGCCTCACCCCTACTTCCTCGGCCCGACCAGATCCTTCTAGTCGTTCAGTATCTAAGTGACCCCTCCCTGGTAACCGTCCTTCAGATCACCGATGCAGGATGGATGGCCCTCATTTTGGGCTTCCGCGGCAATTTGTTCTTACTTCTCACGCTGCCCTGTGGTGGGCGGTCTACGCTTCTCCCTGCTTACCAGTCTGCTGGCTTCGGGAGGATAGCGATGGTGTCGGTAGTGTTCTGGTGAGCTGGTTCTCAAAAATCCTGATTTGTAGGATTTTCCCATTTCCATGGTATAGATGCTGTCCTTACAGCCAATTCCAAGCTACCAGTGTAAAGTCACTGAACGCAGAACTGGGAAGGGATGCACACAACTGGCTCTCGTGAGCTGATGTGAGCCAGCCCAGCTCACCCCGAAAGGTTGTCCGAATCCTTGAAACCCGAGGTCCCGCACAGAGCGTGACTTTTCGTAGCCTCCAATAAACAATGAGTGAGTGAGTAGCGTGCGTGTGTAACGGGGAGAGCTTAAAAAGCACAGGTGTGTGTGGCCCTCAAAGGAGATCGGAATAAAAAAAACAAAACAAAACAAAACAAAGGAGATCGGAATAAAAACGCCGTGTGGGCCTGCGTGGTGGGGGGTGCCATGAACTCCTCCTCGTTCCCCAAGTCAAACCTTCCGACTCTTTGTGTTCCAGATGCAGATTGAGTTCATAAAACAAGGAAGCATGAATTTCAGATTCATCCCTGTGCTCTTCCCGAATGCGAAGAAGGTAAACCAACAAACAAAACCACCTTACGATTCTAGCTTTGGTTGGCTTGCTATCTGGGATATTAAGTGCAGAGCTGGTGAACCCTTTCTCAGTCCTTAGAGATAACCGTGTTACCGGAAAGATCCACAGGTTGCAGCGCTCAGCTCAGCAGCATGCATCAGGAAGGTTTTAGGGTGTTATCTGATGGACCATCCCTGTCCTAATTGTGCAAAAGGCCATTACACACAAAGCAGTCGTTTGTGTTTTAACTCATGAGAGAGAAAAAAAAAAAAGACCGTTCATCTGATACTTCTTATCTCTCATACATAAAAGTCAAGACGTGTAGGTTTTTTTTTTGCTGACTGTCCGCAGAAGCATTTTGCTACAGAGTTCAGCTCCCAAATCTGTAGATGGCAGCAATTAGATCTACAGAGTTGCCAAAGTGAGGGTTTGCTGTGGTTCATAAGAAGGTTTTTTTACACCAGAAGAACATTCTGGCAGGGGAGGGAGGGGGACAAAGAATCACCCCGAGGCCATGCTCCAGGCTCGGCAGAGGGAAGACACAGGTGTGATAAAGGTCTTGAACGTCCCACCGCACCCTGCCTCGGGCCCAGCTGCACCCGGGGCGGGGGTCCCCGGGGCGTCAGGGCTGCAGGTCTTCTGCGCGGAAGGGGGCAGAGGCCCGCTGACACGAGAGGGACGCGGGGATCCCGAGGGTCACACCCTGCGCGACAGCATGCATTTCTGGGCTCTCGCTGCTCCCGCTGCAGGGCCCCCTTGCTGGTCTCCCTGTGTCCTTTGACCCTGCACTAGCCGTCCTCTCCCTGCCATCAAAGAGGAACGTCCGAACCCGGAGACCTGGTCTGTCTCTCTCCAGCTGAGAGGCCTTGGGGTGGGAAAGATCGAGCGCGCCTCTCCCCGCCTCACAGACGGGGCCCCTTAGCAGCGGGCTGTGCTCACGGCTCGGCCTCCCGGCCCCGGGCAGGCGCAGCGCCTCTGTGCTCTGGTCCTCCTGGACTGGGCCCTCGCCCTCACCCTCGCCCCCGCCCCCGCCCCGCTGCGTCCTTTCTCGTTCCCGCGCCTTCGCACTGTCTGTTCCCCGTTCGCGATGCCCTTCCCTGTCTGTGTGCCCCCCCCTCAGCCTTCTACCGCCCAGTCCCCCTAGACTCCCCTGACCTCCCGTCCCCTTTGCCAATAGACCGGATTACCGGATTATCCTTCTGCTGAGCGCTTTAGCTACAGGGCCTTGGCTCCCCGGGACGTGCTTTGGGGTAGAGACTGGCGGGAACGTGGTGATGGAAAAGGAGACCGGCTCCTGGTTGGCTTTTATTCATGTTTTTAAGACTTTCCGACAATCCCCTTGTCTCCTGTGCTCGGGGCCGACTGCTCCCACCTCCCGCCCCTTCGGCCCACCGCTGCCTAGCACACAGTTTCTTTCCATTTTCGTTTACACCCCATCTTAGACGCTGGACTCCTCTGGGCAGGAACTGTGTCTTTTTCATTTGGGTGTCGTCGACACCCAGCGTGATGCCTGGCATGTAGCAGAGGCTGCTTCTAAGCTTCTTCTGCAATCCCCAAAGAGATCCCATCCACTCAGAGAAAAAACCTGCAAGGCCCCATCCGACATGGGCCCCTCTGCTTCCAGGCCTCCTCGCCTGCGCTGTCTCACGCCCTCCTCTCTGGCCACACAGGCCGGCCGCTCCTCGAACAGGCCCGGCACGGCCCCACCACAGGGCCTTTGCACTGCCCGGACCCAGACATCCACAGAGCTGGCCCCCTCTGCTCCTGTAGGTGTCGGCTCATTTGCTCAGCGAGGCCTTTCCTAAACACGCGAGTTAGAGCCGCTGACCTTTCGGTCTGCCCCGGCGCCGCCTCCCTTTCCCCTTTCTCCGTCTTATTTTTCTGCCCGGCATGTATGGGCATCACACACCCCTGTACGTCGCTTATTTGTTATGTGTCCCCCAGCAGAATGTCCACTCCGGGAGGGCGGTGTGAGGCGCGCCCTCGGGGTCCCCGGCTCACGGCTTCGGCTTTCCCCGGGTAAGGGGCATAGGATAAAGGATGAGGAGTTCGAGGCAGCGTGCTGCTCCTGAAGCCGCGAGGACCCCCCAGGCCTCCCTGAGGCGAGGCACGGCTGTACCCGAGCGCCTCGGCCTAAGCCCTTCCAGGAGCCCCGCGGGCTGGGGCCCGGGGTCCAGGCTCCTGCCTAAAGGCCGCCCCTCGGGCCCTCTCTCGCCCCCAGGAGCACGTGCCCACCTGGCTGCAGAACACTCACGTCTACAGCTGGCCCAAGAACAAGAAGAACATCCTGCTGCGGCTGCTCCGAGAGGAGGAGTACATAGCCCCTCCCCGGGGGCCCCTGCCCACCCTCCAGGTGGTGCCCCTGTGACGCCCTCGGCCCTCACCCCAGGCCCGGGGCCATGCCGCTCCCACAGGCCTCCTCCCACCCCAGGGGACTGTCCTCCTCTGCGATTTCTGACCCCCCTACCCGCCCCCGCCCAGTCCATTGCTCCTGACCGTCTGCGGCGTCCGCTCTGGGCCTCGCCCTGCTTGGCCCGTAGGCGACATGACTGACGCCGCAGTAGATGGAAGGAGCACAAACACCCCCTGTTGCTTAGAGCTACTTCTGTGACTCAGCCAGATGCCCGGGCGCCCTCAGACCAAGCCTGATTCCTGTGCCAATAATAAAATACTGAGTCTTTTGTAAGGTGGCTTTTTACGTCTCTCAAAGGGGATAGATGTGCGCTAATTCCTCATGACGCGGGCAGTTGCTTCAGGTAAGCTGCTTAGATGTAGCGTCAGATACATGTAACCGACTGGTCTCTATGAAGATTGGAGCCAGTTACGCAGCCCCTTTGAGCGTGATCTTCAAAGCTTTACTCTCTTCAACAGAAACCGCTCTGTACAACGCACAACCGTGATTCTACATAGATTCTAAAGAGGGCCTGGCTCTGCAGGTCCGTGCCTGCGATGGGAGCAGAGGAGGCGGGGGGGGGGGGGGGGGGGGCGGTGGTGCTTTGCGCTCTAGTCCTGCTCCTACCGCCAGCCAGCTGTGTGACCTTAAGCAGGTCCTTTCACTTGCCTGAAAGCCCGAGGACTCGCTTCTGAAACGACGTGGACAAAAATATCTCTAGGGTCCTAAATGGCTTAAGGTCTGGGACCGAAGCCCTAGACACTTTTTATAAAAATTAATATTTTATTTATTTATTCATGAGAGACACAGAGAGAGAGAGGCAGGCTCCCTGCAGGGAACCCCATGTGGGACTGGATCCCAGGACCCCAGGATCACGCCCTGGGCTGACGGCAGGTGCTAAACCACTGAGCCACCCAGACGCCCCTAGATACTCTTTAGAAGGACGACTGACTTTTCATAATTCTATCTCCCAGAGGATAAAATTACATTTCCTTAACAGAGACATTTTCTTCTTTTTTAAGTCTCTTCAACAGCACCCTCACATTTGTAATTTTAGAAACATAGATACCTTGCTCATCTGATCTTGAGAAAGCATAAACATATCTGTATATGAAATATATATACATATATATGTGTGTATATAAAATCTACATAAGCTATAGCACAAAGTGGGCTGACATTAGTTATGGCCTAAGTAGTAAGCTAATATGAAGATTTGGAGGCGGTGGGTGGGTTACTGCTTCCTGCTATCCATCCACCTAATCTCTGAAACAAGGCTCAGTTGTGCTGTGAGATAGTTCAGCCCTCAGATGTGACTGTAGGGAAAGGACAAATACCAACTAAAAACAGGAAAGTTTGCTGATGAATTGCAAAGAACACAACTTCATTTACGTTGCTACCTAGAGAGTCTACTGGGTGGTAAAGGTGAATGTCTTCATTTAAAAAAAACAACACAAAATAAATAAAAAATAAAAAAACAACAACATGAATCCCTGGGTGGCTCAGCGGTTTAGCGCCTGCCTTCGGCCCAGGTCATGATCCTGGGGTCCAGGGATCGAGTCCCGTGTCGGGCCTCTTGCATGGAGCCTGCTTCTCCCTCTGCCTGTGTCTCTGCCTCTGTCTCTGCCTCTCTCTCTCTCTCTCCCTTTCTCTTTCTCTCTCTCTCTCTCTGTGTCTCTCATGAATAAATAAATAAAAATCCTTAAAATTTTTAATTAAAAAAATAACCAACAACAACAGGAAAGGGGGAAAAGCTAGCATACCTGAAGTCATCATTACCCAGAGTAAGACTATCACAAGCATCTTTCGCACTGTAGCATTTGGGACCTGGTGGGATTATCTTGTGTGATTAACTCAAAATGCCTAAGAAATGCCCCAAACACAAACTTCTTTCTCTCTCTTTATTATCCTTTTTGGAGGTGACACCGTCTTTTTTTATTATTATCTTTTTTGGAGGTGACACCGAATTAAGGATTCACCCGATTGTAAGTAAAATGACATCAGCGATTACTTCTCTGAAACGTTTCTAGTTTGCAAGGGTTTAATAATGTGATGGTGTTACCCCTCCTCCCTTCAGAGACCTGTCCTGAGGTCTCAGCCACCGTTCTCACCCCCAGGCATGCCGAAGGAAGGTCCCTGGTGTTCCGCAAGTAGTCATTAAAGTGTTACAGCTGGTGGCACTTGTAGCAAAAAAAAAAAAAAAAAAAAAAAGGAAAACAAAAAGTACACACACACTCAACACCTGGCCAGGTGATGAAAAGTCTGACCCTTGAAGTTTCTATGAAATCTGATGACCATGGACATCAAAGGAATTTTAACAACTATTTGAGAGCACTGACACCAAGATTAACACTTGGTTTATTTAGATGTTATCCCTGCCCTGGTGCATTCATCTGCAGATATTTTGGGGGTGGAAGTTGGGTAGGGCTGACTCAGTAAAAATAACCTCTTAGCCTCAAGGCTTTATTCAGACCGAAACTGATCTCCGGGGAGAGGTGTGCAGAATGCAAGGTTAGATTCTTGTCTACAATTTGGTGACGGACTTAACATTTGAGATGTAATTTTTAATGAATATACCTACATATGCCTGGTTAGTTTGACTTAACCTCTATATCACCCAAGGCCATCTCGGCACCTGGCTACGATCTAAGTAGGTATTAGACTATTTCTCAGTTGGGTGCTCAGAAAAAATTGTTGTTGATACTCTTTCCTTTTTTTTCCCGATGAAATGAATTACCTATTTAAAGATATGGAGTTTTTCTCAGTCATCTCAGCAAGGGAGGCCAGCCCTCCGCTTTGGGCATTCCAGACCTTGTTTCGAGATGTTTTGCCAAGAGCATTTTTTTTCTTAACCTCAGCCACTTCATTAACCACCTCCACCACTTTGCCAAACACCCCATTGTCACCATCACCTTTGCCAAAGGGATTGCAAAGTCCTGTGATCATTGGGAAATGATCCAGAAAGAGTTTCTCAAAACACAGGATCTTTCTGTTTCTTCCTAATGAACCAAAAAGAATCAGTGAGCCCCACCTCCTCGTGGCGAGTGAAAAGAGAAGGAAGGTTAGTTAGACTGTGGGAAAACACAACGAAGAGACGCCTCTCATCCTGAAGAATGATGCGTTACTCTTCGAGATAAATAGCTCTATGTGAGCCCACCCGCCAAGTAAACAAAAACAAAAACCAGGAAGGAAGAGAGAAGGCACTAAAATAAATTTAATTCTTAAATCATTTGTTTCTGGGACCATTTGGAATTTCCAACCTAAAAAGTCCCCTAGAAATCATGCACCTCTGCAGCGTCGTTCCTCCCGTGGGAATGCTGGGGCCCACAGAAACCAGGGCTTGTTTAAATTCATCCCAGGACTGGAACCCAGATATCCTGGCTTCTGGTCTGCAGACATGTATTTGGCAAACCTAGAAAACGTTCTGGCTTTTGACGGTAGGGACATTTGCTCAACAAATGACCTAGGATCTCCCAGAGGGTAAACTGAGCCTCAGGAACCTAGGAGGCCTGAGGGAAGATGCCCCTCTGTCCTCTGGCAGCGGGAGGATTAAATGATCATGTTGCAACTTGTTCTAGGGGAAATTCTTTGGGGAATTAATTATTGCTGTGATTAGACGGAGTGTGACTTTTCTTGAGGTAGTCTGGCCTATTTATTTTATACTAGTATTCTAGAAAACCAAAGCACAACCTAAAGGACTTTGACACCTCCCTGAAGCTTACAGATAAAATCTGCTCTTAGGTCAATTTTGTTTCAGTTTTATCTGGCCGATCTCCAGAGCAAAAACAATGGAAAATGCTTTTATTTTTAAATAGTGTAATATTCATCTTTCCCCCCGTGCTTCTGATTCTACAAGAGTAGCATTCGTTGGAATAATACAAAGGTGTTTGGAAAATCGGCAGTACCTTTCAGATGAAGAAATGAGAAAGGTACGGGTCATGATAACTCTCCTTTGAGTTGGGGGGGTGGGGATCTGCAGGAAAGGTCCCCTTTACCAGGAGGTACATCAACAATGCCAAGAGCCTCGCCCAGTTCATAGAGCTGGCATTTGGGAAGGCCTTGCACCCAGGCAGGAGAGCATCTTCCTAACTTCATTCTGATTTGTTCCACTTTCTATTGGAAAAAGCTTTCAGATAGAGTCACAGGATACTTGGTGGGAGCAGGGAAGCTTCGGGGGGGCCCTGGGCACTCACGAGCTGCCCACTCACCCCCCTGTCATGCACCACAACCCCTCCCTCTGTACCTGTGCATTTGCTCCCAAGTCCTAGTCCTTAGCCTCAAGCCAAACAGGTGGGACCCGTGAGAGGGACACTCAGTATCGCTGAGATCCCTATCTCACTTCTCAAGGAGCATAGGAGCATGGGTCCCGTCCCGCTCACCAGGGTGTTTGAGGAAGTGATATTTGAGCCTCTACTAAACAAGGAGAGAGTCGTGGACCACGGACCTGGGCCAAGGTGACCGTGCGCTGGGCGGCCTGCTCTTTTCTAGAAACACTTGGATGGAAGGAAGAATCGCAGCCCCCCCCAGATCTCCCAGCACTTGTAACTGAAACCACGAGGGCGCCCATGTCTTGTCCCTGGCCTGACCTCCCTCTGCCCCCTTCGCCAGGAAGGCGCTGATGGGGGGGGGGGGGACGAGCGAGAGAACTCAGGCCTGATGGATCCCATTAGGCTTAGTGTGCAAAGCAAGTTGAGATGAAGTAGCTGCTCTGGTATGCGTCCAAACTGCTGTTCTATTTTTAGCCTCCCCCGCGTGCTTCTTAGCCTCGCACTGAGCGCCTGGGCACCTGGATCGGCAGCAAAACGTGGAACCGAGCCACTCATTTGTAAAACTGGAAGGAAGGAGGCCATTGATGCAGGGCTTGGTTATCGCTGCCGGCGAAGGGGGACCTGGAATGTTAATGAGGACGGCTCTCTGAAGCGTGCCTCGCGGTTAGCCAGGGGTTCAAAGGAGAAGGGAGCCTCGGTCCTCCGCCCAACAAATGTAAACCGTTGATAGAGGGAAGGAGAAATCAATTATGCTGTCGCAGGCTTCCATGTCATTGTGTCGGAGTTGTTAGGAAAGGTAGGACAAGGACCAGATCTCAAAAGGAAACAAAGCCACATGGCCTTGAAGTATAACGAGTTTGCCATGGCAACTGATGGAAATGAGCCTCCCGGGCACTGAGCAGGTGTGTTATCTTACAGAATAAACATACTTCTCTCACTCCCCGGTTTTTATAATAAAACCTGTGTTTGGATTACTTTCCCCTCCTCTTTGTTACCCGGAGAAGTTGGCGGTCGCTCAAT